AGAACAAACCAGATTCCAGCGGAGGAAGAAATCAGTAAGGAGTGCTGGAAGTGGATTGGGCACACTTTGAGGAGACCACCCAATAGTTTCACAAGACAAGCCCTCACATGGAATCCTGAAGGTCAAAGGATAAGAGGAAGACCAAAGAACACATTACGCCGAGAAATAGAGACAGACGTCAGAATAATGAACAAAAACTGGATAGAACTAGAAAAGGAAGCCCAGGACAGAGTGGGTTGGAGAAAGCTGGTCGGCGGCCTATGCTCCATTGGGAGTAAAAGGCGTAAGTAAGTAAGTAACTTAAGAGTTGGATATTCATATGAAGTTTGTTCTTCAGTGAAATATTAACAGTGATCTGATGTGTATATCAATGTATGCCAATAAAATGAAATTGTGTTATTTCGTTAAGACTGATGATTTCATTGAGCACTAAATTATGATCAATGTTACCTTTATCATTTTTTCTATAGTAATGTTTCAACGCATGTAATTTATAATTCACGGATGAGTAGCTTATATTGTATTCGATGTTACTATATCAAGTTCACATATGCTATTCTAGCTTCTGGACAAACCACTTCGTTCATTCTTCTCATGCCACATTTTGACATTTTTCGCTTATTAATCCTGACTGTTTTTTTATGATCGTATGTGTGTTAGTTAATCACCCTATTTATCGATTGAATTTAATTTATTTTTGTTTGATTGATCAAATCGAGCTGGCTCACATGGCTTCTCCAGTGCGTTTCTCTTTGCCCTCTCCTCTACTGTTTCTTCGTTTCGTTTCTCTGATCGTCTGTCTGGATCAACAAGTGTATGAAATATGCGTATTCGAAATCCATCCTGGTATTTGATTTATTTTTTTCCGTTATTCCCTAACGTGACTTAAGCCGATGATTATATACGAGTTTAGCTGGTATGCATATTTTGATAGCAATCATCATATGATATAATTGGAGTCAGACATAGGGCCAGTAAAATATTTATCAATTTTTTAAATATGGTTGTTCTTTTATTCGTTAAATAAAGTAATCTGAAGCTTATTGCTTTTGGCCATTATGTAGTGAGATATATTATGAAGTGAGATATACACGGTTAACTAATACTTAATATATTGATATATTGTTATAATTTGACCCATTCAGCTGTAATACAGGGAAAACTGAAAAAAATTGACCGAAATTTCATGTTTTGTAGTTTGATAATGCTTGGTACTTCACGCACATCAACCAATAAAAGTGAAAGACATTGGGTAACTGAATTGTTAAGAGACACGGACTAGATGATAAAAAGGGGAAAGATATTTCCATGAAACAAAAATCATTATTCCACAAGAAATTGACAGACAAACTTAATCTACTTAAATATGCCCAACCAAGAGTCAGCAATCAATATGTCTGACACCGAAATAAAAGTAAAAGAAAAACTACTGTAAGCAATGAAACAAATGTATTAAGATTAAAAAAATAACTAAATAAACATAAGCAATAGTTCTAGCTTGGATCCAAAATCAAACATGATATAAACAGGTTGATAAATGAGAACAATTTACGCCGAGAAATAGAAGCAGATATGAAAAGGATGAATAACAACTGGAAAGAACTGGAAAGGATTGCCCAGGACACGGATGGATGGATAATGCTGGTGTGCGGCCTATGCTTCTCCACGGGGGTAACAGGCGTAAGTAAATAAGTAAGTAAGAAAGAAAGAATAAATAGTTGGTACTGAACTGAACAGTAATAGTGCTTAAATAAATACATAAAGAGAACATGAATATAAAGTGCTCATCTTTGAATAAAACTAGCTTTATGACGTTCATTGTAATGCTCCCTCTCTTTGTTTTGAAGGAGGCTTTGATAATCCTTGGTCCATGAGATTCCCATCCAATAAGTGCATTTTGTGCATTTCTGGACAGCATCAATGCAACTCCTTGTGTATGTGGGGCATTTTCTTCTTCATGACCGGAGTATAATAGAAGTTCGTCTGAAGATAGTCGTTGTTGTCCAATCTGCGTCCAATGTGTTTCACTGATTCCAAGCACTTCCAGGGTGTATTTTCTCATTTCTGTATTAACTTGGAAGACTCTTCCGGTCTCCCACATTGTCCGGACATTCCATGTACCTATAAAAATTGTCGCTCTGGTTGTTAGAAGGTGCATCGGCCTCATGACTTCCGAAGGAACTCGGCTTTCATAATGAGACGTCATAATTATTCCTTCCACCCCCAAGACAGAGTTTAAATGGTTTGAATAAATTTTTTCTGGTTAGCGTTTTTTTAGCGAGTTGGTTTTCTACGGGATGAGGTCGCTAATCCCATGCCCGATCCTCCTCCTTTACCCAGGATTGAGACCGGCAGTAGCCCCCAGAGGAGCTACAAGCGGAGTTAACTCTCAAGTATATTTCCATATAAATTCCCAATGAGAGTAATGAAACTCGTTCAGAAGAATTTTTGGCAAATCAGATATTTGATTTGTTGTGAGAATTGAGGATAGAGATTCCAATTATTAGTATATTGTTGTGTATCCGATAACATTTATATTGTCAGTAACATAGAAAGCATGACGATGTGACAATGAGAGGTTCAATGGAATCACAATATAGCTTTATCATTTGATTTTAGCCTTTCTGTAGCTGCTGAACCTCGTCGTATTCATATGTTTGTAGTAGGCGTCGATTCGCGATTGACTATGATCACCACTATAGGCAGATTACGTGCCAGGTATTAGGTTGGATCCCTGAGTATGTCAAAAACCAGAAGGCAGTTGACGGTTGTAATAAGATATAATTGTTGGCGATCTGGTGGTATCGAAAGAATACCGAGATCGCGCCAAAGTTTACAAGCGGAACTACCGAGTGTATGCGAGTTCGTGCAAGGTCACAGACAATGGGTGAATGTGTGTTTCGTACACTTAAACGAACAGGTACAGTGAAAAGATCACTGGTACAATTGGTTATAATAATAATAATTGTTCCCATTATAACAATCACGTTCTCGTCATAAAAGTAGGTCACTACATGTTAACTTCAAATTTATCAATACAATCAGTACACAACCACACTGAATTACCTATCAATCCAATTTCAGAATTTAGATTTTTATACGGATGTTGATTGGTGTTACATTTTAATGGTGATTAAAGTGAGTGTTAAATTGTTTATTTTCTTGTTGAGCATACCACATTTAGTGAAATCAAGATATTGAGACTAGCTGCAGATGTTTAGTTCACACGAAGATTTCAAATACACAAATTACGTCCTTTAAATGCGAACTTCAATCAAAGTGTTAGATGTTTCCAGATGAGATTTTCTATGAAGAGTCATTATTATTTCATATGCGTTACGAATGTCTAGCATTGGGAAACCTAAGTAAATAATGGTTGTTATACTGAATAAACCTATTTACTGGCAAACAACTTCAAATTCTTTTATTATCGGATGGTCGGTCTGTTCTAGCCTGATGTACGCTACTTATGTCGACAGACGAGTATTATGTAACAGCAATCAAAAGTTGAATGGCTGGTAGCAGAAGGCTAAGAAGATCGGATGTAAGAAAACAGAAAGGGGAATAGAAATGATTTGTGAATTGGAAGAATCAGGCTGAATATATAGAACAATTGATGGAAGATTCGCAAATGAAGCATTTCATGTATGGTTTTCATATTTTACGAAGATTTTCTATAAATTTTTACTTAATAGTGAATTGGTTGTCCCCACCTCAGTTTCGTTCACAACACTAGTATATAATATTCGTTTTAGGCTTACCTTCATTCACTCATCAATCTAGCTATCCGGACAGGAGTCTCATCATATGTTGAACAGGATCATATAATGACGCTGTAAGTAGATAGTACAGGATGTCAACTTTCCATAAATCGCATGACAATACGGCCATGATGTGAAATAAGAAAGTTATCGTAATCAACCTCTATCACGTCTACCCAGTTAAATGGTATTTATAATTTTCAAACGGTAACACATAGATCGAAATTTATAAAACCCTTAACAGGTCATTACTTTTGTAGAAAACATTCTATACTGCCAATTCATTGTAAAAACAAACTTGAAGTAGGAAATCTAACGGGAACAAAATTCTACACATATGAAAGTTGCAACGTATTCGGATTCAAATCAAACACTTTTCTAAATGGTTGCTTTTTTTATGGTAGGTGAAGCTCGTTAATAACTAACGACTTGACAATAACTACAGTAATACGACTCACAGCATCAGTTGGAATAAAAGTAATCACGCTTTATTCAGTAGACCAGAAGTGTTCTGAGCGATCGGTTTACAAGAATTTATGAGTGGTCATCCAATGTGTTATATTCCACATGTATTTAAATTATTCGAAAATACATAGATTTGACAGCCCAAAAAGCAACCTATATCCTTTCAGAAATCACTACTCAGAATCAATTGATTTGGCAATTCAATGAACTTCACGATATTCTCCTTTAATGTCTTTCAGAACAAATTTCTTATTGTTTTATTTTCTGTCACAATCAATACTGTCATTTCGACTGATTTGACACTCCTTATGGTTAGTTTCTCATCGTGATAATTCCAAATGGTGTGATTAATCGTTCAACCGTTCAACTGGTACATAATACTTAATCCAGATCGATTTCACAAATATTAGTGCTCAACCTATACTGTGGTTTAGGCAGATCAATTGCCCCATGTGTGGTTTTTTGGTAACTTATTATTGATTGAATTATTGATCCACACTGATTGGTCTCTAACGATATATCAGCTTCTTATACAAATACTCGAATATTGTATATGACTAATTTCCTTGTGTTAATAACAGTAATATTTAATGGTAATGGTTCGTCAAGCAACACACACCTCTTCGCATTCCCCCTCATGTATTTCGCATTATTTACTAGTCTTGTTTATTCATCTGAACACTGAAGGGGAACTCTGATCGAACTGATGGATTTCGATATGTGGAAGAGGCAATAGATGAACATTCGAGTTTAGTGAAAAAATAAACTCCATCTTTCATTCCATTACGTGTCTGTTTTATTTCCCATTGAATATATACACAGTTGAAAGAAAAAGGATGAAACTTTCTTCTTACAAAAAATTGCATACACATGGCATTTGACAGCATAACTACTTGTTACTGATAGAATACCGGACGAAGTTCCACATGTAAAACAAACAAGTAGAAACATACTAAAGTTTGAAAAATGTGTCTCATCTCATTGAAACTATTGAAGATGTTATTCTAATAATCACCAATAGAAATAACAGACATTAAAAAATACAACCAAAACCAAATTTCACAATACAAACAATTGTTTAGTAAATAAAACAAGTCTATATAGAAAAGCTATGAGGGAGATTTATAACAATACCGCTAGCAGTAATAATAGTAAACAAACAACACAATATTTGTAATGGGTGGAGTTCAGTTGATAATTCATTGTTGAGCATGTTTCGTCTTTGAATTTCCTTGTCTGTTCTCCATACAATAATTGTTTGATTCATTGATTAATTTACGGATTGATATGTACTTGAAAGTTGAGGGACGACAGAAGTAATAATAATAATATTAGGTATTTTACAGTGACATGTAGACGAGGTGAATGTGTGAGAAAGTGAACGAGAGGGAGAAAGGAATGGATATCTCAAAAACCAAAGGATTGTGCGCATCATTGTGCCTGTGTATGTGTGTGTGCGTGACAGAGAGAGAGAGAGAGCAATTGAAAGATAGAATTACGAGTGAATGATGGACACCTCATAAACAGTTTGTACAACCATGATGAATTTCCAGCAAACACTTTTACTGTGTTGTTTGCGTTTTTTGAGAGAAATACAAGGAGGTTGAAGGAAATAGGTCAGTAATAGTAATAATGATAGTGATAATAGTGATATTGTATCAGGAAATTCTATTCTGTTGTAAATAATTGATTAGATCCATATAATCTCGATGTATCCCATAAGGATGTAGGTGATACAGCATATATTCGTAGAGATACATTTCTTCAGGTTTAATATAATGAAATGAGACAGCATAATCACTGCAACAATCGAATCCCTGATTTCAATCAAGTTGGGGGGAGAATAAAAGTCAATGTAGTAATGATGATGATGATAATAATAACAATAATAGCAATGATATAACAACAATGTGGAGAGATTGTGATTACAACGTGAGATAAGCAAAGTTTGTTGAATAAATGCATACTGAATAATAGGTCAACAAAACAAGATTATGTGACAATGATCTTACAATCACGACAAACTCTCTCTAAACATTTGTACGCTACATGTGTTCCTGTCATTCAGTACATGTTTGATTGTAATATCGCTGCAGTCACAGTTTGCAGTGGGCTGCAAAAGCATGCCACGTTGTTTCCCTTCAAAACTGTTATTTTACTTCATAGTTATTGTTATATCCCGAAGAGAATTATAAATGGTAACTATTGAGGACTATTTATGGACCAATACGATACGTATATTTACTATTGTATAATTGTTAAGTAACTCAAATATTCATATTCATGTTCCTTTTATGATAAGCTTTATATGATTGGCCGTTGTTGAGTTATCCTCAGTCGATTAATTACTGTTCCCCACATTCACAGTCTTATTTGGCCAAATCTTGTACAAATGTTATTTTCTATTTTATTGGTACGATGCGCTCTGTTTGTTTGTTTGCTATATAAACCGAGTATGTTTGAGAATAATGATTCATATTGCAGAGGTTGTTGTTGATGTTCTGGACTTAACTGGCTGGGTTAGGCACATAGCAGGACCGACAAGTGCTCTAGACTGTTTGTACGGGTTTCGTGTTTCATTGGTCCGATCAATGAATCACTACTCTCTAATAGGCGGGGATACGTTATAACAGTTTAATTACTAACTTTTTAATTTATTCAACCCCTCAATCATCCCATAAATGCACCACTCATCTATGTAACTGTAACTGTAACAATATTTGTGACGTGAAATTTTGTGCGAAAACTGAAAGTCACCATGTCAAACCTCAGTGAATCGGTTATCAGACCATCTCTGTTACAAATTTGTGAGAATGTGGAGGATTTTCCAAAAGGTGATCTCTAACGGTATTCCACTTATCATTCTCGATTTATGTTATTTCTTCGATTATTTTCTGTTGTCATTAACAAACAACTATGCAATACGTTATTCGTTTACTGGTCTATCTTCTGTGTTACCACCTAATACTCAGATAAATCTACCTAAAACACACCTATATACAATCGGGACAACGTTGGATTTTGAATTATCATAATATCATTTTAGTAACTGAAATATTCAGTACCATTCATGATATGATGTGTGATAATGTTATGGTAGGGGAAGAATAATCATTGCTTTCAGAAACTAGATTGTTTTGTCTGATTCTCACTCACTCATTTGTATAGTTTAATATAGACTTGAGTGAGCATTGAAAATTATCCTGTACATAATTGATGATGGAACTTCTGTTACATTTTCACCAACCATAACCCTTTCCATAGATAGCTTATTCATGTATAGATATGTTTAGTAGTAAAACTCACTGTATCTATTCTGTGGTAATTGTACTTTATGTACCATTCTGGATAACCGTTTGTATCTTTTGTAAGCATATGTGATGGAGAGAACGGGTGAAAACATTCACGTCCTTCTGCATCTAGACTATCAACTATTGAAACATTTGTAGCTTCAGCACATGATCCTGTAATCAATTGAGGAGGAAGAACAAGAAGAAGAAGAAGATGTATCGAATGGAATTAGCATTGAATTATTTCTTTTATTGTTTTCAAATTCCCAGTATATTATAGCACATAATATGAAGTCGACTAATAATGGTCTTTTAAGTAAGTCCTCATCAGCTTCTACGTTTATATATCGTCCAAATTGATGATACAAAAGAAGTACATAGAATCTTACAATGGTTGGTAGAACAAAACAGAATTGTCAGTGGCTAACTATCTATCAACTATGTACTGTCGACTCCAACTATTGTGTCAACTGTAATTGTCAGAATGAGAATGAGAATGGATATAGACATCATAGTGTAAGAGAACTAATATTGACGTTGTTCCTGAACTATTGAATGTCGTGTCAACCAGACATGATGTGTAACTGGGGTGATCTCACAACACAGACTAAACGAAGGTGGACAACCGATGAAAACCCAACTGCAATCAAATAACTGTTTCGTCCCAGTATTAACCTACTCTGTACTGAGCACCTAGAGTTCATCCAACAATCGAATTCAAAATTTTTAGGATTACACAAACCGTTCAGGCTAATACAAATACATTAGGCTGTTTCCATGTCATATTCAACGATATCGATTATTTTTCAAATCTGTTGTTTCGTAGTCCTAATGCAATCACGGCGTCACATGCAGAAATAGAATGTATACTCACCAAGTTTCACGTCTTCAGCAAATGCATGCTTACTACTTTGGCAAACGGTATTATTTTCTAGACCATTAGCGATATTCAAAAGACCAGCTCGAGAGAGCACATATCCTCCACCACCGGACATATATCCTTGTTTAACAAATGGCTATTTTGCAAAGAAGAATGTTGAAGAAATAGATGAATATGACGGATTAAGGAGAATGAAAGCAACAATATAGACGCGTTATTTGTAATAAGAAGTATTTGAATTCCTCAATGTCTTATACAAATTAATGTAATACTGAGAACTATTTGGATGCTCTCTGATAGTAAAACAACTTTTCCTAATCTACAACTATGATTTCTAGAGATTTGCTTGAAGTATTGACAGTTCATGTCGTGACATGATTTGATATTTCTCCCAACTTTAATTATCATCAAGATATTCTGTTTACGTTTATGAAATGATTCTACATTTAAGTATTGATATGATGGGTAAGTGTTTCGAGTAATTACAACGTTCAGTTCTAATAATTGACCAATCATATCCTATCTATTAGATAAATCAAAATCACTATAATCTTCGTTAATTATTTCAGCCAAACACTGGTGATTATTCCATTTATGAAAATGGCATTTAACCAGAAATCGCCTTTTCGAATGAGCATTACACACGAGCCACCAAAATCACTTCAATCAGTACTATGAAGATGTAGTGTTTTTATTAAATACTAGTTGTTTTGTACATACCTAACCACACAATTCCAAATTCAATACAATTCAAGTGTGTAGAAAGGAAATGACAAAAAAAGGGAAGACAAACATCTGAGCAAAGTGAACTGCCCCAACTGCAATAAAAATCATGATGGACAAAGTGGTTGTATTCGTCTTCGTCATCAAGAACACCAGGTGTCTGTCTGTGAAACACCATTAGTCATCTTCGCTCGTATCTATGCATGTGGACAATCGTAGACACAGGTTTGATTGAGAGAATGTTGAAATCGTGGAGAGAGAAAATAGAAAGAAAACCACATTTCTAAGTTTATCGGGGTAGGTCAAACAGCAATCAGTGAACATATGTGTAGTAATTAGAACATCCCAACTCTCTGCGAATTTTTTGATGATGCTGTCCAGAAAGACCACAGAATCTTCAACATTGGACTACTCATCTGGGAGAATGCTAACAAACCTAAATTTGTTTGACAGTTTGTTGGTTTAGCCACTACAGTCACTTCAAAATAATATCGCTTGATTGTATTATCTTATCACACAAATAAATCTACTCGTCAAAAAATCAGCCACTCCATACAAATGGAGATAGGCAACTCACCTTGAATCGTCTGCCCATGATGAATGGTTTATCGGGATCTTGTTTATGTAAAATTTTGCGCAAATTCTCCACAATCACGTATGAATCATCATCCGCTTTCATGAAGTAGTCATAGTCATTGGCATAATGTTTTGCAATGTATTTTATAGCTCCAGCAGTTTTATTCCACAATAAGTTGCGACCTTCAGTGTTGATAACAGCTACAAGTTACGAATACATTGATATATTCGGTGGTGATTGAAGTAATTAAACAGACAGATTCAATGACAATCATAAATGATAATGATCAACATGGGGAGATGGAGATCATTGGGAAGGGACTTTCACTAACCTCTGTTGGACTTGGAGTGAATGATGATAGGATTTATATAGGTATATATACACATCGGCTCAAATTGCCATACCACATTGGCTCAAATGTTAGGGAATATCCATGAGTAGTAGAGGTAGTTACAGTATCAGCGGTAATTTAGAGAATTAATTGTAGAAGATACGATTCGAGAAGGAAATATGAAATTTTCAAAATGATTAAAAACATTCTGAGGAATTTGGAAACTTTGGACATAAGAGAAAACAAAGAATGAATGCATCTGAGTAATTGAGAACAACGTTAAGAATTGTTACTCAAAGTCTCCAAACATTGTTTGTGATAATTACGCGGATCTCAACCAGGTTGTCTGCACCTAACTACATGGATCGGTTGAACATTCAGTGTCTCTGTGGACTGATGCCACGTTTTGAATTGTCCTTCCTTATCTTTCATTCAAACTACTCCTTACACCAGTCAGCCATTATCACGCATCCAGTTAGTCGATGGTTGGACATGCGTAATACATTTCCCAACCATCTCAGTCGATAGATTCATTACCTCGTCAACCGATTTCCTATAATTAACTGGTGCTGTGCATCTAACCTCAGAATCGCTAACTCGATGGTGCCAAAATATACGATGAATGGTTTGGAGACATCGATGATCAAGTAATCGTAACATATATCCTCTATTATAAAAGGCATTCAGATGATGATATTATTATCTCATGAAGAACGTCTACCAATAAGTTAAATAGAAATAGTGAGAATGAATATAATGAAATTAGTAATCAAGTAGTGAGAAGTAGTAACCAGTGGAGTACAACCAGGTCTGTTGAGAGATATCAACTCATTGAAGAAATTAGTGAATGGTTGCTCAATTTCGTGGATTAGTTGAAGTTAGAGATTAACACCGTTGGATATCGGCCATCCCAGTGGTCTAGAGGTTAAGTGCTCTCGCGCGAGACTGATAGGTCCTGGGTTCAAATCTCGTGAGGCGGGATGGTGGATGTGCACTGCTCAGGAGTCTCACAATAGGACGAAACGGCCGTCCAGTACTTCCATGTTTTCCATGGTGGTCTACCTTCAATGGACTCATGAATTCAACTATAGAAAATTACTAAAATCTCCACAAAATCCTCTTCGGATAAAATAATTATAATTTGCAAGCGAATGAATCATCGAGCGAATTAAGTAACTGAAATTTTGGGCTAATAAGAAGGGATATGTGTGTATAGGCTGTAACACGTGACCAAGCTATACATGTTCATACAGACATGATAATGATTGTACAAAAAATATGGATACATTTTTGTATTGTCCGAATGATACTGTCTGTTGAATGATTCCATTGAAGCGGTTCTGGTTAGCGTTTTTCGGTTTGAAACACAAAGATATGAAGAAAATGTCTGCAAATGTTTGCAAAACTAATGGTAAACAGAACAGAGAGAACTGAGATACAAAAATTATCGAGTTATATAAATTAAAATGTAATTTAAGGGTATCTATTCGTGTATTTTTAAGTGCACTTACATCCATGAGACCAGATTAAATAATAATAATAATAATGGAGAAGAAGAAGAAGTAGTAGTAGTAGTAGTAGTAGAAGGAGAAGTAGAGGAAGAATGGAAGACCAAACGTATTTAGTATCATTTTTTCAAAAGATTATCCATACAGGTCGTTATAATGAACAAAATATATGAAATTTAATAATGGATAATGTAAAATTGACTATACCCAAGTACAAAACAAAAAGACAAAAAAAGTAATTCATATTCAAAGCAGTGAAGAAAACATTCATTCAAAACCTTTGAGATGTACCATTGCGGCTATTTAACACTTCGATTATATTTCGTCATAAGAGTAAAAACGTCACCTTCACAATTAATATGTTTGGTATGCTTGAATCTTTATCACAATAAAGATAAAAACAACAATTACAGGCTATCAATAAACAATAATTATTGATTCACAACGATCGGCAAACACTAGAGATTGGACATTCTTACCACCAGTCTGTAAATGATATGCTGTATTCTTCAAAGTGTAACAAAATGTCATAGCGGAATTTTAACATTTTAACGTTTCCGTACTCAGTATAGAGTTTAAAGTAAACACTTCTTTCCCAAATACCCACATGAGTAGATACATAAAACGTTTAGGAATGGAACCCTGATGTCCTTGTATTTTAGTGCAGGAGGATGTTGCATGAAACAAGGGGTGGAGAAACCGAGAAGAGGTAACAATCATGGAAGTTAACGAATGTTGACGCGAGCCACTTTAGTAAGTCAAATTTACCGGATTAGTGTTCCTGTGATAATCACTTACAACATTTGGAGATGGTGAGTGGTATGGCTCGAAATCTGATGCATTGGGACAGATATATACATTTTCTAATCTTTCCTTAGATTTTGAATTCCAGTACTTCTCCACAATTTTTATTCCACCAATTTATCCCCTTTTTGAGATCATTTTCTTGATGCTTACTATCATTGATATTACTATGGTTTCGACTGTCTCGCTATCTAGTTATTATTGTCTAATCATGCTAATACGGTGTGTGGCAGACCGACTAGATACACGTTTAAAGTCTGGTCATATTGATCACAAAAATATGCAACAGTAGTAATAATAATAATAACGACTCTGACAACTGGAAGATGAGTCACTTACCTATTGAAGGAAGACGCTCATCAGTTTCACTACTAATGAATAAGTACTTATTGCATCGACCAGCCCATGTAGCTTTCACATGAACAGCTTTTGATTTATGATTTGTTGGCATTGTTAGTATCCAACAGAATACGCGTACTTGTTTAGCCAATACGTTGGCCAATGTTGCTTCAGCTACAGGAAGGAAGAAAAGTATATAAGAATAGAAATAAAGTCTAATTCCTCCTTTCGGACGAGGAAAATTAATTTGGCATTCGAGACTGCCAACTGCCACCGTTTGTCTGAATGAAGTAAATCAATTCGTATAAACTGAGAACTTTACTGACTGAGTTAGTCAAGGAAGTTAACTAAAACAATGAGAACAATCAAAATGATGTTCAATGGATTTTCAGTGGGGAGAAAATGTAGTAAATGCATCTGTATCACCTGAACTGACTCATACGTGTTAGTACGAGTTTTGAATCTACAAGTCTCGTGTTATGCTGACCACATTTCAAAGGTACCCGTTCGTTTACACAACTGATGAAAAGAGTTAGTTACTTCACAAATCAGCATAACTTCAACAGTGAAATAGATGTTGTGCATTGATTCACACTCGATGCCAACACATCTAGTCAATCGGAAATCCGGAAAGAACTTAAATACAAAAATGAAACAAGACATCTTTCCGGAATACTCGACTTGTAGTTTTAGAAAAATGGAGACGACATATTTGTGAACCTAATCGGCTAAGCGGAAACGAAGAGAAGAAATGATGAAAATCTTAAACATGTATCTACGTCTAAGGCTCAATGTTTGAACAGCTCATCGTCAGAAGCCAGGTGGTACAACTGAACTACCACAATAAACATGATTTACACCTCCGAATCTCGGCTGTCAGAAAACTCAAGCAAATCTAAGGAAACAGTTTGAAACTCATCATCTTTTCAAGGATATGCTGAAAGTACTGGATCCAGATGAAAGTAAATTATTGAAAATTTCAACAGTGTGGAGAATGACACAGGCTAACTTGTTTCAAATGAGGTTCATTCCACTTTGTGAGCTATTGATCAGACATTCCACTTTTTGACATTTTACTCATATTGTACGTGGATTATTTTTTGAACTTCCTAAACTCGAGCTACTCTGTCGGTGCTGTTACTTCTCCTGTGTCATCTCCCATGTCCTTGATGAAGAAACCGTTTCATTACAAATAGTAAATATCATCAATCCTGTAAAACCAAAATTTTTCAAACATTTTCAACCCAATAATTCATAAATCAACACACTCTCTAGATGTAACCACAACGTCGCAACTTATCACAGAGTAAGGCAGTCAATTTGTCCTTCTTCTCCATGAATATTTGCAAAACCATCAGCTAGAAATTATCTAGCAAAAGATCTTCTGCCAAGGGTTGCACACCCTTAGAAAACATTTCACACTTGATTGTTTCATCAAAATTTTCGCCGGACTCTCAACAAGTTTCTGTTCTTGATTTTCCACGCCATCGCGAAAATCATTTCTGTATAGATTCCATGTCGTATTTCGGTTAATGGCAATTTCAATAAGCCTCATCACATTGTAGTAACTTGTGTAGTTAGCAAGTATGTTTTGGTTTCATTTGAAGACACACTCCATCACATCACAAATATTCCTCCAAATGTTGACGATTACTGAATACTATATATTTCAACTTCATGAATAAACAGTGGGACATTCATCATGAAATTTAGTGATTCTGGATTCCATTCCGTTTACATTTTATTTAAGAGAACACTAATGACGATGGTAGATAACCGTATACTATATGTTAGCCATCCACTGGCTAATATTTATTCGTAGGAAATAGCTTTGAAATCTTATAGACACCGCAATGTTCAATCTTCATTTCCGAATGAACAGAACACAAGATATGACAGCACTACCTATGAGAAATGCACCCTACTTCACATTCCTGCTATTTTTTATACATTACATTTAACTCAGTTATAGAGAAACGACTGACCACATTATGGTGAAAGTGTGTAAACTATGATGATCAGTCTACAGGTCACTCAACTACTTTCATTTCCAAACCAGTGAAATGTCTTCAACTGCGAATGGAAATTTTGTAAATAAATAGCAATGGTCGATTGTAATCACGATAACTTCTCTTGTTTCTTCGATACCAATTTCATTTTTATGCTATATTTAATCCCTGTCTAAGAAATATGTGAAGTGAATTCCTGAGGTTTCGGACGAGATATAGGAAAGTCTTTGAGTAAATTATTGAGACGTGGAGGGTTGTTTGTGGAGCTAAAGACTGAAGGAAACAAGTGATTTCAAATAGATCAAAGACCTCAGTGAGGCCTATCAATACTAGTAAAACGATGATGAAAGCTCAACATTGTCATTGAATACCCGGGTTGATAAAGACCACAAACGTCTGTAGTGTTTCCAAATTTATTTTCTCCTTCCAAATTTATTTCATTGTATTATACTCCTTCAATGACATCTTCAAACCCTAATCTTTCAAATAATGCTTATACTCCTACTACTCCTACCACTATGGGATTTGAATCCGCAACTGCATCTCTGTGCTAATGTGGTATGACAACTCGAACTGATGTACGTACGTACGAAGTTCTACGTTGTGATTGACTGTAGAATTTCCAGCTTTTGCGTTTCCGATTCACTCTCTGGATGATGAATGTTAGTATGAATTTAGGAAAGTTCTCTGCTTATTCGGTCCAACCAAGACACTTAGGATATATGGAGTAAAATGTGAGACGATGAAACAACTGAAGGGTATGAATTCGGAGAGGTTCAGAAATGTTTTCAACAGTGGCAAGTAATACAGAGCAAGTGCACTTCCACAAATTGGAAGTAACTTAAGAATGGATAGGATTGATGTACGACAAATCATCCACACAATTCGCCTACTTAGTAGAACCACTAGTATTTATCCATTGTGACTGAAAAAAGGATTCATATTTATAATGACTTAGTCCACTAATATTTAGCTGGAATTCGGAAACTACAGTCTGAATCATGGGTGGATATCTTGACTATTGCTTTAACTGAAAGTAATCTTTAGAATAATCATCGAAACCATAAATAACAACTATGGTTTCCCACTTCAAATCAAAACCAATACACTTACCTAAATGTTGTAATGCATGTTCGTGTATTGAATCGTTCGAAATAACTGTAATTTTCAGGGGAACACGATAGTGAAATTGATAGTCATTTTAAGGTAAATCTAACCTACTCAACTGTTGATATGCATCATCGTCTGCTGCCAATTTGGGTGACTTGGCTGCAAACAGTGCTGCTGTATACAAATCCTCTTCATGTTGTGCATAGTAAAAGTGGACAATTAGTCCGCCACCAAACATACCGATCGTGTATATAAGAAGCATACGAAAGAATGGTGATAATTGCATAAAGACCTGAAATTGCTAAGATCAAAATGAGAGTGTTAGTACCATCTGACAGAATCTACTTTTGAATACAATTCCAATCAGCGAGTTGTTGTGAATGTTTTATAACCATATCACTGCTTCATGTGAAGTAATTAACAAGTTGTAAACCTTATTCTTGTGTATGTATGTATGCTTAAGTGCTATGTGGTTCAGTAAATTTCTAAGCATCCTTTTAATGTTATACTTGTTTACTACAGTATCAGTTAATTGGATCCATTCAACTTCGGTGAATAGAGGAGTTAGATTTTGTGTATTTTCCATGCGAAATGTACTACTACGATTTCTACCGTTTTTGTTTAAACGTATGATGAATAATAGACCAAATTTAGAACAGAATATGTTCACATATACACATCTGATTGCGACATTGATTGATATCAATCTGAATCTCTGAGGTAGTATAGATTTTCGCCGAAATCGTGTTTACATATAATCGACGATTGTTAATCAACTTCAAACTTCGGTTCATTGAATCAATATGTCGCATACATGAATCGCTATATTGAATTTCTTGATCCAAAGTTGAATAAGTATCGATTAGGAATACAATGTTCTCTTCATTACTATCTAACTTGTGTAAAGCGGACGTTTTTGATATACAGCACAAAAATTGTCATAAATCACCAATAATTATTTATGGACGTGTTACAGAACTATTTGACCTCTGCCCTTCTCTTGATGAATCTTGTCAACCAACATCAATAATATCTAATAAACTAAATGCTTTTAACACCATTCTTGAAGTCTATGATCGAGATGTGCTTTGGCAACTTCGAGACGAAGGCGAAACCTCTTTCTAATGCTATCGAAATTATCTATGTTTCACCTCATTAATGTCATACCGTAACATAAACCAAGTAGAGACTAAACATATTCACTAAACATATTCATGTAAACAATAATTATGTCTCCATCAATGATCAGTTTCAAGTGGATTCCAGACATCCTATACAAACTCTATTGTGTGGGATTGTGATTGTTCAGTTGTGCTGTGAAACCTCAGACCTAAATTTAAACTATTTATCCTGTTATACACTAATTTCTTCTTGTTTTTTAAGTTGAATTCATTCTATAATTAAAATCATTTTCAAATTCCTAGTGTCCAAATATAGTAATTCAACTGGTAATCTTATCAGAGTTCGATTGGCTGTTACTTTGTAAACAGTATCACAATGATGGTGTACACAGTGAGAGTATTTATTGATCTACTTTAAAACTATTTACAATGTTAATATTTAGAAAAGATGATGACAGTAACATACATCAGTTAAAAGGTTTTGTGAAGAAAAAATTAAAGTTAGGTAATATGTAGTATCATGTATATAACTAATTGTAACTAATGTAAACAATATTATAACTGAAATAATCACTTAATCAGTAAAACAGCCATCATCTAAGTAAATTATATTTAAAATTCCGAATGAATGAATAACTAGTGTCTTTAGTTTGGTTTCTTAAAGGTCAATGGTCCGCTGTATTTACATGCTGCTTAATAAGTGGCTCCCTTTACTTTTAGATGACTAATCATGACTTGATTTGTGCAATGTTCAATCGAATTATGATTAACGTAAGTTAAGCGATACAGTTGATTCAATGATTATCAGATCGGATAATTTGAGTATTTTTGTATTATTAGGGTCATTTGAATGTAGTAGAAAAATCGCAACTACTCAATACGCAATAAATAAAATGAACTGATGTCCTTATGGAGACGTTTCGAAAGGTGTATCTTTCTACGGTCCATACAGACTGAATGCCAGAGATTAAGGGAAGTGATGGCTTAGCCATTGAGTCACTAATGTTTACGAAGTTTGTGGATATTTTTATATCCAAAATGTTTGTGGGTATCTAATAAAAGAGTATAATGTTACTATGAGAAAGTAGAATTAAAACATCCAATAGACTACATCTTCAATTTTGTTTTTTTCTGTAAAGCATTCATTAATGGTTGCTCGTCCGTATAGGAGGAAGTTAGCTTGTAAGCAAAATCTACTTAATAAGGTCTTTATCTAGTTTAGTCTTCAGATGCTTTACAGTTTTGCACAGTAATTCCCTAGTTAGTAGCAACCGTTGTCATGTCGATTCATTGGTTCTAATCAAATTCCATCTAATACATTTCAAGACGGAAAGTAGAAAGAAAATGTACCTTCCAGTAGTTCCATAAATTCCATAGTTTGATGCTTGCAAAACCAGTTACACTTTCAGATTATTCGATAAAAGAAATTCATTAAACTATTCAAATTTTGTGTATTGAGACAAATTCACAATTAATTCGCAATTGGTATTTGTCACACCATGACAACATAGAGTATATTCTTCTTTGTATCATATAAATCGGACACGATATTACTTAATTGAGTCTTGTTAATCAGGACAACTCTTAGGCTTAGTTATTAATATGAAATTATAATTCCAGAAATATTTAAAACATTGATGCCAAGTGGTAAGCAGACATGGATAGTGGCTAGCAGTGGAATCCAGGACACGCGTTTCGTCCTATTTCGGGCTCGTCAGCTGGATGTACCTGCATCTGAGTTGATGTTCATTCTGGGACTCGAACCCAGTACCCTCGCTTCAAACGCCATCGCGTTATCCACTCGGCCACTGAGTCCTGGATTCCACTGCTAGCCACTATCCATCTTTGCTTACCATGCTTGTGAATTAAGGCTATTTCGAGGCAATACACACAGTATGCACATATGCCAATTAGAGACTGACCAGTTGCAGTCCTAACAAACCGATGTGAAGATTCAAACAAACAATACTGAATGAATTTAATGCTAAATGATACCATTTTTACCCTAAGATATAAAATATGACATTTCATACAATGAAGATTATGTCTGTATTTTACAACAACATAATGACAAAAACAACTAACTTGTACCAGACGATAAGCGTCGTTAAAACTTGTTTTAATCCTATGTATAAAACCATTATCTAATTATTTTTTTTCCACTAGGTATCTCTTCTTGTTTAACCAATTAGAATAGGATGTATCATTTCACATTGTGATTGGCTGATTTGACCAAATTCGATCGTAAATGAAAAATATTTACTTTATTTTAATTGGCTGAAAATGAAAATATTGACTAATCATTAATACTAAATACACGCTATTGACTTAGTAAAAAAAAAGTAGTTAAGGTCAAGACTGGATCAATAATTTGAGTGGTAACAATCGATTATTTAGTTTTTATTCTGTTACCAATGTTGTATTTATTATTTTTAGACAATTTGATAAACAAAATATTTGATGATAATGAATTCCAATAGTCAAATGAGATCACAGGATAGACAGACATCTTCCTCCATTGTGAAACATTTGGTTGAAACTGGTCATAAGGTTGACATCAAGTCAGTGTTTGTAGTGATGATAAGATTGTTTACTCAATTAAAAGATCACTTTGAATACATAATATGAAAATGATGTCGAACATATATCTATCAGAAGGGGTTTTGTAGAGATTTTAGTAATTTCATATAGTTGAAAGCGTTAGTCAATTGAAGCTGGATCACTAAGGAAAACCTGGAAGTACTGGACAGATGTTTCGTTCTATTGTGGGACTCCTAAATAGTGCGCATCCCCGACCTCGTCTCGCGAGATTTGAACCCAGGACCTACCGGTCTCGCTCGCGGGCACTTAACCAATAGACCCCTGAGCCGGCATCCTGTGGTGTTTATGTCTAACTCAAACCAATCCACGAAGTTGAGCAGCCATTCACCAATTGTCTTCAGTGAGTTCCTATCTCACAACAGACTTGGTTTGAACTCCATTGGTCACTGCTTCTCACTAGAACTCCAGGATTTACCTCTCGAAGTCAGTCACTAGTGAGCATATGATTATAACCAGAAGGGGTTTTGTGGAGATTTAGTATTTTCATAGTTGAAAGCGTGAGTCAATTGATAGGAAATGAATGCGTTCTACAATTTAACAATTATTGTTTTTAGCTACAAAATCTCGACATATACTTAATAGGGTATGTACATTCTTGTACAAGGTAGATAAAAAGTAGTACGTCTTTGTTATCCTTGCAATACTAACATCATATGTATAAAGAAACCTGAACTATTGATTCAAAGCGACTTTTTCAACATTTTTTGTGTTAATCGTTATACATAGTTTTTACAAAGCAGGGCAGCATTTCTACAATTGAAGAATATATGGAACTCAAAACAACTGTCAACTAATTTCAAAGTGAGAATCTTCAATACGAACGTGATGTATGACTATTTCTGAAAAGCTTCAGATTACAAAATAACACCCGGTATTTCTCAATTTCCAGACATCCTTCATCTGATATCAGAATATTTACATTATATAGCTTTGTATTAGTATCGCGCTCCTATTCACAGTGAAACAAAAATTCCCGTTTAGAATATCGAAGTGAAGAATAGCGAGAAAGATATGTATTTTCAATGAATTTTTATCATGCTTCTATATTAATATGAACATGATAATAAAATATACCGAAGAAGTGGTGGTCTATGAGTTATCAAAACTACACATTGAAGCTTTCATGACTGATGAACTAAGCAATCAGAAGATGGACTGGATAAAGTGATAGATACTCAGTGGTATTAGTAATAAATGTTCGAACTGAAATATGTAGTTTAACAATTGGAAACAAGTGAATTGATAGATGGTCGTAAATCGTATATTATTAACAGTAGCTTAATAATTAACTAACTCCAACTGAAGCCGCTATAAGGCTAATAACAGTCATACGCCTTGGGAAAGGAGAAAAGTTGGGCGTAAGATTACTAAACTTACAAGGCCGACGCCCTTTTTGAAAACAAGGACAAAAATAAATATCAGGACATGTAAAGTTCAAACAATGTGAGAAACAACGAAATGTCATTCAGATAGTCAAACAGATAAGACATAGATCAGATTTACATTAGACCGTATTCTATACTTTATAAGTGCCCAGAAAAATACTTGGCCATCCAGATGAGCGATCTAAACGCCATAGTCTAGATAAATAAAATTGAGTATAAACTCATTACGGGGTGATATGGACCGGAAGAAAGAGACAAGGATGATGACAGGCCGACATATATTTGTATGCTTCTAATAACATGATGATGAGTGGGAGAGGAATAGGTGAGCACAACTCTATGAAGGGCTCTTCAATAGACCAGCGTCGATGAACTCAACAAACATCGAAGTAGCACATATAGATGACACCCCAACAACAATGGAAGAAATTAAAAAGCAAATCAGAAAAATCAAGAACGGAGAAGCGACTGGACCAGCAAGTCACAAGAACGGTAAATGTGGGAGGACCATATGATACAATCAAGAAACTGGCAGTGAAATATGACAAACCGGTTTGATCAGTCAGGACAAAAAACAAAGAAAACCAGTCACTCAGGTTCGAAAGCAGAGGAACGAATGGATAGATCGCTTACTTTAAAGAGTTCTTGAGTAGACTAGCACCACTGCACCCACTGGACATCGAAGCAGCACACACAGACATCATTATCGATAATACCCCACCAATGGTAGAAAAAATTAACAAGTACATCAGACAAATCACGAATGGCGAAGCAACAGGACCAGATGACATACGAGCTGAAGGACTCAATTTAGGCATAGAGTCAAGTGTATAAACAATATATATACTCTCTTCAGAAAGATTTACGATGTGAGATGTTAAAAGCAGAAACCATAAAATAATATTGTTAACTAAATTATTTGTGACCAGCTTAAGGAATGAGATAGTACGAACTTTTTACGAACATATATGTTAGGTTCATTAAGATGTATACTGATAGATTTTATCTTATATTTTGGATGTATGCGTAAAACACAAGCATTTTTTGTGGGGCCAGGTGCGTGATTTGAAATGCATTGCTTATATCTACTAAATCTCCTGTATCGAGTAGGCGTGCAATTATGGAGCTCTTAGTTGTTTTATTTATACTGTACTTAGCCAGTAAGGATGATGTTCGGAAATACGGTAAAAGACTTCTCCAATAGTGCACACAATGTAACTTTCTCCACATGAGCAGTTCAAATATTAAATCCACAGAGAAGAGGGGAATTCGGGAGGTCTGTGTCTATTTCAGGTTCTAATAATTTGTTGGTTGTAAACTAAAGAATATAATTTTTATGAAGTTGGTTTTCTTGTTAGAACTTTTCGGGCTCTTTATGTTAATAACTGTCTGGCAGTATGGGATAATTAGGAGTATTTGAATTAAAGTGCAATGTAGGAATCCCAGAAATAACACAATTTAACCACGAAGTATTAGATGAGCACGAACGAACGTATCGTATTCGGAATTCGAAATCAGGCAGTCAACAAGTGCAAAGGAATCTGATGATCGTATTAGATCATCAATTGCTGGTCACCAAGATGGAACTGAAACTCAAGAAGCACTGGTCAGCGGGGCGATCAACATCATAAAAGTTTAATACGGCCTTTCTTCGGGATAGTAACAAACTAAACTAAATTCAACATAACCGTCAGCAACAAGTTCCAGGCCTTTTATGATCTGCTCAATGGAGAGGGAGCTACTATGGAGAGCAAATGCAAAGGGCTAAAAGAGGCAATCATTTCAACATGGCAAGAGGTTCTGGGCCACAAGAAGCTCCATCACAAGGAATGGATCACTGTTGATACACTGGGCAAAATTGGAGAAAGGAGGAACAAGAAGGTAGCAATCAATATCAGCCGAACAAGAGAATAAAAAGCCAAGGCACAAGCTGAATACATAAAAGCAAACAAGCAAGTGGAGAGGGGCATCAGAACCAATAAACGTAATTATGTGCAAGCAATGACAGTGGAAAAGGCTGCAAGAAAAGGAAACATGAGACAATTGTATGACACAACAAAGAAGCTCTCTGTAAATTACCGTAAGCCAGAACCACCAGTGAAAAGCAAGGAAGGCAAAGTAATCACCAACATTGTAAAACAACGAAACAGGTGGGTAGAACACTTCAAAAAACTCTTGAATCAACCAGTTCCACTGAACCCACCCAACATCCAAGCAGCACACACGGACCTCCCAATCGATGTTGGCCCACCAACAATTGAAGAGATCAGCATGGTCATCACACAAATCAAGTGCGGCAAAGCAGCAGGACCAGGCATCATTCCAGCGGAAACACTGAAAGCAGACGCGACAGTAACTGCAAAGACACACCACATTTTCTTCAGCAAGATTTGGGATGAAGAACAAGTATCAACAGACTGGAAAGAAAGACACCTGATCAAGATAATAAAGAAAGGCCATCTCGGTATGTGTAAGAATTACAGAGGCATCAGTGTTCTCTCAATACCAGGAAACGTCTTCAACAATGTATTGTTAAACAGAATGAGGGACTCCATAGACGACCAACTTCGAGATCAACAAGCTGGATTTCGTAAGCATAGATCGTGTACAGACGAAATTGCAACTCTACGTATTATCGTGGAACAATCAATCGAATGGAATTCATCACTCTACATCAACTTCATTGACTACGAGAAGGCATTTGATAGTGTGGACAGGACAACACTATGGAAGCTTCTTCGACACTATGGCGTGCCTGAGAAGATAGTAAATATCTTATTCCTATGATGGATTAAACTGCTAAATCATGTGTGGAGGACAGGTAACTGACTCATTCGAGATAAAGACCGGAGTTAGGCAAGGTTGCTTACTCTCACCCTTTCTCTTTCACCTGCGGATTGACTGGATTATGAAGACGTCAACATCTGGAGGGAAGCATTGGATACAATGGACAGCTGGGATACAGCTGGAAGATTTAGAATTCACAGATTATTTGGCTCTTCTATCAAACACGCAACAATAAATGCATGAGTAAACGACCAGTGTAGCAGCAGCAGTAGGTCTCAATATACACAGACGGAAAAGCAAGATTCTCTGATACAATACAACATGCACCAATCGAGTCACACTTGACGAAGAAGCTTTGGAGAATGTGAAAACCTTTACATATCTGGTCAACATCATTGATGAACAC